GGCTTTGTCTCCCCTTTTCTTCTGACAACAGACCCATTTCATTTTGGAGAACAGCTCCTCCCACAGGCCAACCCTAATCCCAACCCTAACCATCACTGCCCATCACGGCCCCTGCTCACACAGGCTGGCTCCTACCCCGCAGGACCAATCGCCGTCCTCGGCACCCTCCCAGAGCATTTATTGCAGCAATGGGCTCACTGTCCAGGTCAGGCCATTAGACACTTTCCCGAAATTCTCTCTACTACAGTCCTTTCAGGAACAAAACAGAATTTAAGCCCAGAGCTCCTTGGATCTAGCCTCAGAGAGAAGGCAGCCCAAGAGCACGGATCCACCATGTGAAGAGATGTACAGAGAAGCTTAAGGATGAGTGGGGAGACTTCCAGCAAAGATCTAGCCTGCAAGTCCTGTTCTCCCAATGGCGACCTGCCCTCTGCCCTTCCTACAGCGTGGCTATAAAAACCAATACATTTTCCTTTAAGCTTAAGTGAGTTTGAGTTGGTGTCTGTTATTTGCACTCTAGGAGTCCTGACCTGTGCAGATGGTAACTTCTTAGGTTTGGGAATTCTGGGTTGTCTTTCTACTCCTTGTTCTCGGGGCACTGCCTTTGTAGCCCACAGGGGTGACTCCTGGGGTCTTGTTTCTGCTCTGGGACCTGCTCCTCTTCCTGAGCCTCACTGGTCCAAGGGTAGCACACAGGGCAGTCAAGGTTTCACCTCTGGAAATTAAGGTTTTGATCTGAGAGAGAGGTTGTGGGGTTCTTCAAACAGTAGTCCTCCAGAGGGACAGGAAGGCATTCTCGGAGACACTGTGGTTCTGGGTCTTTCAGAGGTTTTGTTGCTCAGCCCCATCCATACTGAGTTCCATGAGCTGCCCCAGGCCTTCCAAGACATTCTACCCTGTCTTTCTTCCTTCCCCACCACTCCCCTTCAGCTGACTGCAATTGGTTTCCTCTTCAAACCAAGAGAACATGAAATTATACACAAAAAATTGTTTCTGTAAATCATTGGTTAGGACACTTTTCACTATGGGAAATGTAAGACTTCAATAAAAATCAGTTGAGCAATAATGAACTTTTTACCTTGAACAACAAGCCTAGAGGCAGTGTGGCCCCAGGCGTGGTGGATCAGCCCCTCAAGGATGTCATCAGGGCCGCCATGTTTTATTTCCGTGTTTTGCCAAGAACGGGACTGACTGCTCTCAAAGGTCAGTTCCCCTGGGGTCCCCAGATGGCTGCCACTCACAGTTGGGTCTACCTGGGTCATCCTTCACATCCAGCAGGAGATGGAGACACTCCTAATATCCTGGCGGTGGTGTGAGAGCTGCTCTAAGAAATGTTTAAGAGTCAGAACTAATTCAGCTTGGTGACTGCCTGGCTAAGGACTATGGGAAGGGAGGAGCTAGGGTGGGGCCCAACTTTTCTTGCTGAGGCATCTTGGTGGATGAAGACACCCTTCTCTGAGGTGCAGCCAGAGCTGGTTTGGCAGGACAGGGACCCCACGTGTGGGTTCTCTGCCTCCTCAGGCTTCACTGAGGCCTGCCCAGGAGCCGGCTTGGGGCCTGTCCCCAAAGCCTTGACCTTGGCAAGCAAACCACTCACCTCTGACATGGAGTGATTTCTCAAGGGGTGAGATAAGTAAATTTCTTTTCTCCTTGAATTGCTTCTGCTTCATGGGCAGAGAACCATTTGCATGAAGCAGGCAGCCCCCTGAATGACGTGTGAGCTGTTTGTGTCCTTGCTGCGCACCATTAGAGAATTCATGCTATGGACGTGGTGGGTGTCTACACAGCATCCGTCTCCACCTGCCTGCCACCTTCCCGCTCCAGTTTGGTTCAGGCACAGGTTCGTAGCCAGTTCTAAAGGATAATTCGTTTAATCAGGCTCTCAACCCTGGCTGCACATAGAAATCTACGGAGGATCTTTGAACAAATACCAATGCTTAGGATGTGTGTGTGTGTGTGTGTGTGTGCATGCGTGTGTGATTTCCACTCTTCAGCTATTGCGAATAATGCTGCTGGTATGAATGTGGGTGTCCAAATACCCCCAGGGATATTTTTACAAAGCTTTCCATGGGATGAGAATACACAGTCAGGGTTGAGAACCATTAGCTCATGGCAGTCCCTGGCAACCGCAAGGGGTCTGGGGGAGAGGCATGCCCCCTTAGTCGGCCTGATCAAGCTGCTCCAGGCTAATTATCAGCAGCTCATATACCTCTGTCACCATCAACACTCAGAGACCCAAAAGGGTGAGGTAGGCTTTGTTTTACTTCCATATCTCAATGATCGAGCTCCCAGCCTGGCACCCTGCAGCAAACTACTGAGCTGCTGTTGAAGGAAGAAGACTTCCAGTCCATTATTTAACTGGATCTTACTGTTAAAACCAACTGCCCCCTTCAGTTACTAGAAATTATGTGCCATCGAACCCTGGGCCATGCGTCTGGCTCCACTCGGGCCTGGGCCTGGGCCTGAGTCAGGGTCTCAGACCTTTATAAAACAAAATTGCAGTTATGGAAGGAGCCCTGGGGGGGTGGGATGGGGGCACAGGGTAGGGGTGGAAGTTGCTACAGCTTGGCTCCAGTTTCTTCTGGGACAGATGCTCTGAAAGGAGCTGCTGTGCCCATTCCCTGCAGCTGAATGAGAGGCTTAAGTAATCTTCCCCACAAATACCTGCTTCCCTATCCCCATAACCCACTTGAAAAAGAAAAGCCAGACATGAAGCTGTGTTTTTCTTGAGGTGGCTTTTCTGTGCTCTCTACTCACGTCTGCAGCCCCACGTCCTCGTGTTTACACTGCTTTTCATGTTGACCTGAATTCTCACGATCATTTTTTTTTTTTTATGACAGCCTATGGAAATTTTAAAAAGTAGCCCCGGATAAAAGAAATGCCAAAACACCCGCGAGACTTCTGCCTGGTTCCATTTTTAAGTCTGTGGACGTATTTGGAGAGAACCTCTTTCTAATGTGAAGCAGTAGTGTGGCAAATCGAGAATGCTCTCCTATCCGTTCCCCTGTGGGCTCAGAAGCCAGATGCGCCGGGTGACGGGACGGGGACAGCAAGGACGCGTCTCGGGAGGGAGAGGAGCCAGGCGCCTAACTGCTCCTGCAGAATCTTCCAGATCTGGTCAGGCCGGGGTGAGGATGGGGCAGGAGAAGCAGCAGCGGGCAAATTCAGGGGCAGAGCTGGACTTTATTTGAAATGTGGATTTTTTTTTAAAGATTTTATGTATTTATTTGACAGAGAGAAAGAGAGAGAGCACAAGCAAGGGGAGCAGCAGAGGGAGAGGGAGAAGCAGGCTCCCCGCGGAGCAGGGAGCCCGATGCGGGGCTCGATCCCAGGACCCTGATCATGACCTGAGCTGAAGGCAGACGCTTAACGACTGAGCCACCCAGGCTCCCCAAATATGACATTTTTAAAAAAGATTTTATTTAGTTATTTGTCAAAGAGAGAGAGAGAGCAGGGGGAGTGGGAGAGGGAGAAGCAGGCTCCCCGCTGAGCAGGGAGACTGGAGCCTGATGCGGGGCTCGATCCCAGGACCCTGGTCATGACCTGAGCCGAAGGCAGATGCTTAACCGACTGAACCACCCAGGCGCCCCAGATGTTTGGTTTAACATGGAAACTTTTCACATTCATTTTTGATTTAAGCACTACATTAAAATCATTTACCTTGGTTGCGGGGCTGTCTGGCACACCATTTTGTGCCTTACTTCCCTCACCGAGGCCCAGTCCTGACTCCACTGGCTCTTGGCTCGCCCTTGCTTTTCTTTGAGTTAGGGTGTGCGTTTTCAGGAGGGAAGCAAGATGTCTCTCCGAGTCTCGTGTAGCCATAAGCTTGTTTCCTCTGGGCTTACTTCCTCCCAGGCCTTTGCCTCTGCGCATTCTGACAAGCTCTCTCGCTACGCGTTCACCTCTGCTGCTTCTGCCCTTCCCAACCCTCCGCGCCACCCTTCTTGCAACTGCCAACACCAGGCACCGGGAGGAGAAACAAGAGGGCGGCCTTTCCCTCAGGGGTCTTTTGCTAACAGTTTTTGAGCTTCATATGGAGAGTGCCACAAACAGCAAGGGCCCATTCCTTTTTAGAGACATCTTTCTTAGGCCAGTTATGATGGTCAGTAGGCCCTGTGGTAAACCATGGCCAGCCCTGTGCTCTGGAACCTCAAGGCAGCTGGCTAGTACACCAGGAAATGGAGCTCTGAGGTGACTTTAACTGTGCTAACCATAGCAGCCCTGGAAATTCTGAATATGGTAAAAGGGTAGCCGAACCTTTATATGCAGGCGGGCGTCTCTGTGCCCACCACGGCCCCCAGCCCAGAACAGTACAGAAGGAAGCGAACCCATGATTCTGGGCTCTTTTGACCCAGTGGGACCCTTTCTCTAAAAGGGCAGCCGAGATCCTTAAAAATCCAGGCCTGTCTGTGTGAGGGCCTAAGCGGGGAACCCTATCCACCCGCTCGCCTCCTTGACCCTGGGTGTTTTTCCTGCACTGCTTCTGCATCATCAGTAAACCAACATGAACCTAAATGACTGAGCCTCTGTTGCCATTCTAGCCAATCTTCCAGATCATGAGGGTCTAGCCCAGCTGAGCCTCCTTGATATTATCTTAATGATTCATTATTATTATTATTATTATTATTTTTTAAAGATTTTATTTATTTGTTTGACAGAGAGATAGAGAGAGAACACAAGTAGGCAGAGGGAGAGGGAGAAGCAGGCTCCCCGCAGAGCAGGGAGCCCGATGCGGGACTCGATCCCGGGACTCCGGGATCATGACCTGAGCCGAAGGCAGCCGCTCAACCGACTGAGCCACCCAGGCGCCCTCATTATTATTATTATTATTATGATGATGCAGGGGCCACAAAATAATAATTACTTACCTCATGGGCCTGATGGGAAATATAATTACACATGCAAACAGCTGTAGACATAATACAGTGTGAAGAACACACTGATATGTCGGCCACAGCGTTACTGGGACGGTCACCTGAAGACCTGACTGCAGGACTTACCAGCACCGTGTGCATCCCGGTGTAGAGTCTGCTGAGACACACCAAGGTGGAAAACACCACAGCCATCAGCAGTCCCAAAGCAAAGGGATACTGTGTGGGGAGAAGGGAAAACAAGGCAATGAGATCGTGCTCACACGGTTCGACACGGTGGGAGGAAAGGGTTCCCACCCAACGACTGCTAGCCTCGACCTCAGTTTCCCCAGAGCGGCAGTCTGATGGTCTCAAGCCACTTGAAAAGTGGGAAAAAGAGCAAAAAGAAGGGGAAGATGCCTACAACATCGTTAGAACTCGGCTTAAGGCCTCATGACCACAGACATGGTGCGGATAGTTTTCGTGAAGTAAATCATTCTTTATTTCGACCTATTCTTAGCCCAACGTGTATGAAGTGTAGAGTATGGAGTGAGGGGCGAGATAGATGGACAGCCCCATCACCTGGAAGCGCAACTGACGACTTCCTCTTCGAGCGCTGGGTGGTAAAGCTTGGCAACCACCGGCTTCCTAAGGAAGCCCAGCCAGGCTGAGAACGGGCACCTTTACGTACAGGTGTTGAGGCAAAAATCCAGACTTTACTACATCTCAACATTTGCTGGTGGTAACTACAGCAACCAGAGGAATCTGGCTACTGCTGAGTCCTATAAGGAGCATAGGGGTATTCTGCTTATAAATGAAGACGTAGAGACATAATCCATGTACTTCAAGCACCAACACCTGTGGTGTCCCATGGTGAAAAGAATAAAGACGACAGAGAGCTGTCTACACTGTGTGAAGCACTTTAGAGTCACCCCCTCCTCGCATCGGACACAACCCTATGAAGTGGGTTCTGTCATTAGCTCCATTCCACAGCTGAGGAAACCCTTAACCTAGATAATCAGTTACGTCGCTATTAAACTTTAGCGCACAGACGCTTTCCCACCCATCATCCCATTTGATCCTCACAACAGGAGCTGGCCCCAGAGAGGCCAAACGACCTGCCCAAAGTCACACGGTCCGTAAAGGGTAAGAGTCAGAACCAGAAGCCCCCTCTTCTGAATCCAAGACCAGCATGTTCTTTCTGATGCAAGATGGGAGTACAATTATACATGGTCGTAGGTCTTTTCTTAACATTTATCATTAACCGCATGCTGGATTTTAATTTAGGAAAAAGTGTTAAAAATGAATGAGTTAATGCTTTCAGAAATTAGAGTCTGGGCATTAGCCTGCACACATAGTCATATAAGTAAGCCATATTTAGAACTGTTTACAGCAAATAACCCAAATAGCTAAATATATTTATCATTAAAAATTGAGTAACAGCTCAGGCTGAAAACTGCTACATCATATGAGCTGAAAAGAGTTTTTTGAGAAGGACCAGGAGGCCTTGAAATGAGTCTATAAACAGTGGCTGTTGCTGTGTTCTTGCAGTCAGCTGCTACTTGGGGCTTTTTTCCTGCACAGTGCCTCTCTGGATGCTGAGAGCAGCCCGAAGGGGGCTGGCCTTGGGCCGCCCGTGTCCTTCTGGGGCAGATGCCCTGCATACGACATAGCTCCTAAGTCTGCATTAAGTGAACTCATACAGTACTGGAGATCTCAGAAATTTCTGATCTTGGCATGACACGTAAGGAAGTTACGATAGATTATACTATACCTAGTTGGACATACTCCTTAGACCCATCCCTTTCCCATCCAGGAAACTGAGGTCTGACCCCCAGGTGACCAGGCAGAAGACCATAGACGTAGAGCCAGGACCCAACACTAATTTTGTCCTTGTCCAACCACATCAGGCGGACTCCCCTAATTCTGCACAACCTGGAGCACAGAATGTGCTCCTGTGTTTTGAGGGTGAAGGGACAAAGCGAAACAGTACTGTCTTTTACATACACGACGGTTAAGTTTAATGAAATCTGAATTGTCTGGAGAGTAAAAGGTACAATTTATTAAATGAAACACAAACTTGGAGCAAAACTTCTCAGGCAAAAAAAACTTCACTGCAGTATTAGTGTAACTTGTAAAAGGTCTGACTGTAACTGGCATCTAAGCAGATTATTAATTAAGTGACATTCTTCTATTTGCAACATTTATCAACCTGCTGTCCCTTAGAGTACTCTAGAAAACATGGAGCCATTATTTCTAGTGGTTGAGCCCCAACCAGGGGCAGAGGCATCCTTGGGAGCCAATGGGGGGCCCAGACTCTTTCCTGCCCCGGGCCCTGGGGAGTCTAGCAGGAGGATTTATCTGGGGGAATCATCTCAGTCCTGGAGGACCAATAATGAGGATCCTAAGCTCCTCCCGTCTGCTGCAAACAAGAAGATGAGAGAACCGATAATGTGGGGTCTAGTCAGGCAGCTCAGGGTGACGATGCTCTGCTGGGGAGACTCCACACCCTGGTTCCTGGGGCAGTCCATGTTGTCTCGTGGTGGGGGTGTTGTTCCTGGGGGTATCACTTTCACTATGAGGCACGGCCTCATTTGGACGCTAAGCCATATGTCACTTTCTCTATGAAGAAATTGTCACTGATGACTCAATACATTTCGATCCCCCGTAGTCTTCATTTCATAAACCTCAAAGTCCCTCAAAAAGGAAAATTCTGAAGCAAAACCTCTCTTTGCTACCTCACTGCGTGGATGAGGTTACGTGGGAGGAAGAGGAGTCAGGCCTCACCTGGTATCTGTCCATGGTAGAGATGAGGAGGGTGAAGGATATGACTGTGGCTGCCATGGCGTGGGTGGACGGCATTCCGTACTCATCAATCACCCTTTTCTCCAGCTTTACCACAGGAGGGGAGAGAGGACGAGGCCACTTCAAGATGTCCTTGGCCACCTGGCCAATATACATCACCAACTGCAAAACCAAAGGACTGAGGTGAGTCCGACCAAACAAGTAAAACCCCTAGATGGTGTGAATTTATTTTGGGGTTCCCAGTCTGTTGGCTGAAATCACCATCCTCTCTGACCCAGCTACTAGCTGGGAAAGTCTTGTAGGATGCTATTTTAGTCAGACCTTTTGAATTCCAGAAGACCACTGGGCCAGTAAGACATGACATTAACACATCTTTTTTTCTTTTCTTTTTTTTTTTTGAGATTTATTTTAGAGAGAGAGAGAGTGCAGATGTTGGGGGGGCGGGGTGGTAGGGCCGAGAGAGAGAATCTTGAGCAGACTCCGAGCTGAGCGTGGAGCCCGAGGTGGAGCTCAATCCCACGACCCTGAGATCACGACCCCAGGTGAGACCAAGAGTCAGACGCTTAACCGACTGCACCACCCAGGTGCCCTGACATTAACACATATCTAAATTTTAGTGATATACTTAACAAGCATTTCTATACTTCGTATGCATGCCAGGTACTGTTCTAAGAGCTTCACAAATATTCATTCACTTAATCCAGTAACACCAGAGAATGCAGATCCATTTTATGGAGGAACAACCACTGTATATAGTAAGTGGAGGACCAGATTCGAAACCAGGGAGTTTTGCTTCAAAATCTGTAGCTGACGCCTACCATGGTAATTCCTCAAAACCCAGGACAGTTCTCAAATCAGAGTCTTTGTTTTCAAGTTTTAACCAGAAAAGCGCCTGTTCTTACAGAAGTTCTGCTTTAAAAAGTTTTGAATGCCACTGTTATTCCTGATGCATGTAGGTAACATACTGGATAAAATTTAATTTCTTTCAGTCATCAGGAGTAAATGGTATCAGTAAAATAAATGGCATGAGTATTTTCAACCCTAAAATCAAGACAACTCAATCTACAGTTTTTTCAAATGATTTTTCATGATGGCATGAACGAAAAAACTGCCCCCCCCCTTCCTTTTTTTAGAACACAAGATAGAAATCAGAATTTGGCTTCTGTATCCTTCAGAGATGAACAGGACTATTAACCACAGACTCATTTTGTCATGGGACTTTACAGGACGACTTCAGGATCGGTGATAAAGAGGGAAGAGCAACCCATTCCCCCAAGTCTGCATTTGCAGCTCAAAGTGGGGTCTGAGGGTGGGCGGCGTGCGCACCCCCTGGGCGCTGGTTTCAAAGGCAGAATCTCAGGCCCCGGCCTCCTGGACGGACGGAGTTAGAGCCCCATTGTCACAAGACTCCCAGGTGGTTCGTGTGCACACGAGAGTCTGAGGAGCCCCGTTTGACACTGTTCTTTTTTTTTTTTAAATTTTTTTTATTCTTATGTTAATCCCCATACATTACATCATTAGTTCTAGATGAAGTGTTCCATGATTCATTGTTTGTGCACAACACCCAGTGCTCCATGCAGAACGTGCCCTCTTTAATACCCATCACCAAGCTAACCCATCCCCCCACCCCCCTCCCCTCTAGAACCCTCAGTTTGTTTCTCAGAGTCCATCATCTCTCATGGTTCGTCTATCCCTCCGATCTCCCCCGCTTCATTCTTCCCCTCCCGCTACCTTCTTCTTCTTCTTTTTTTTTTCTTAACATAGATTGCATTATTTGTTTCAGAGGTACAGATCTGAGATTCAACAGTCTTGCACAATTCACAGCGCTTACCAGAGCACATACCCTCCCCAGTGTCTATCACCCAGTCACCCCATCCCTCCCACCCCACCCCCCACTCCAGCAACCCTCAGTTTGTTTCCTACGATTAAGAATTCCTCAGATCAGTGAGATCATATGATACATCGTTTGACACTGTTCTTGCACAGGTTCGTTTGTCATGGGCTTTAATCATAAACCTAACCCTATTGATTTTACGGGGGCTTTATTTACTTGTGATGGATGGAGTTACCTTGCTTTAGAACAAAACCCCTGATGAACGACTATTTCAAAATAACGTTCATTAGTCAGCCAGAGTGCTTCAGGGTTTCCACGTTCTGGTGCTTTCTTTTAACTCGTTTATTTCAAGCATTATTCTAGCGTTCGCACATCCCCCAGAAGGCGCTGCTTATGTTTTCTGCTCCGCTGCCATTTTGCTCTGGGTTAACAAACCAAGAGCTACCGTCTGTGCACAGCAGGCCAAATCCACAGGCTTTTCAGTGACAATCACTGAATTCCATAGCTGTGATTTCTAATCGGACTTTGAAATTCAACCTCTTTACCATCCCCTTATTACCAGGAACTACTGTCCTGGAAACCAACGCACTCTTTCATGTTTCTGCCTCCCTCCTGTGAACCTGTAAAAACCACATCAGACTGACAATTATGTGTGCAGTTGGAAAACTCACAGCCATCACTGACTACCAGGAATGTCGCAAAAGCTTCTTGAGATGGATTTCTCAACACTGTCCCTTCCCCACTCACCAGCAAAAATAAAACACGGCTGGCGTAATAACTCTAGTTTGTTCAGAAATTCTTGAAATCCTCAGACAGGGACCCTTAATATCATTAGGTGAAGACAGCCCGGGAGGTCTTCAGACAAATTTTTAGATTTCCTTGAAGTTGACAAATCCCTCTGACTTCATTTCTATTCTGCCTTCCATGTTTGAAGGATGTTCTTAAGAATTTGGACAATTGTTCATTTTCTTTCAACAATATTACCACAGCATCACATTGTATCTGATCAATAGATTTCAAGTAACAGTTACCGTAGTGACAGCTCTCTTTAAACAGATTGGGTTATATTTTTCAAGTCATCTGTCAGCAGACAGATTAAAAAAAAATTTTTTTTTAAGCTGGAAGAATGTTGGATAGGTTTATAAGTGTTGGAAGAATGGCAAGTAGAAATTATTTAAATAAGAGAGAAAAAACCCCACAGAAATTGATGGACTGGGAACCCAGAGGTGATCGTGTACTTGGAAATGTTTAAGTTCAGAAGAGCTAAACCACTGGTCCTCACAAGGGACGTATGGTTTCCCGGGAGACACTCCCGGTTAGCTCGATGGTGGTAGGTCCTGCCGGCATGAAGAGGGGAAGAGGTCGGGGTTGCGGTGTGCCAATCACACACAAGATGGTGTCATTCTCCAACATCGTTTTTTGTCTCTAACATGACTCTGGAGGGCTCCGCCAGACATCCTTGTAGATGAACACCTATCTGTAATCCTCTGAACGGAGAGCCTAAGTCTCTGATACAAGTCAGCACCAAATATTTTTTTGCAAGGTTTGAACATGCACTGAAGGTTCTGAGAACATCAACACCAGGTAAACGGAGGGAAGACTGAAGTTTGGTTTGTTTGGAACTGTATCTAGAATGGCTCACCGTTCGGAGAAACGGGGTCACCAATGGAAATGCTGCTTGTTGTGTTTGAGATCCTAATGCCACACACCCATGTCCACAGCACTGTAGGTGACACAGGGACACTGTGTACAGGTCCACGGATCCTACCACCCTACGTGGACAGGCCCCAGAATTTGCTTATTTCAAAAGCCACCTTCTGGGGCGCCTGGGTGGCTCAGTCGTTAAGCATCTGCCTTCGGCTCAGGTCATGATCCCAGGGTCCTGGGATCGAGCCCCACATCGGGCTCCCTGCTCTGCGGGAAGCCTGCTTCTCCCTCTCCCACTCCCCCTGCTTGTGTTCCCTCTCTCGCTGTGTCTCTCTCTGTCAAATAAATAAAATCTTTAAAAAAATAAAAAAATAAAAGCCACCTTCTTATTACAAGGCAGATTTTTAGAAATTATGTAAGTAGGTCATATTTTCTATGAATCTCATTTAAGGAAAGCAACAGGGGCACTACAAAACATTTAGAATATGAAAGGAGGTGATACTATGCGAAGTTTAGGAAGACAGACACCAAAGAGCACATATTGCATGATTCCATTGATATGAAATATCCAGAATAGGCAGATCCAGAGAGACAGAAAATAGATTAGTGGTTGGCTAGGCCTTGGAGGCCAGATGCCTGCAATCAAGGTGTCAATAGGGCCACACTCCCAGGGGTTCTCGGGTAGAGTCCTTTCTTCGCCTCTTCCAGTTTCTGGTGGCCACAGGCCCTCCTGGGCTTGTGGCCACATTCCTCCAATCTCTGCCCCTTTGATCACATTGCCTCTTCCCCCTCCTTCTGTCTCCTGCTCTTCTGTCCATCTCAACTCTCCCTCTGCCTTTTTCTTATAAGGGCACTTGCCATCGGATTGAAGGCCCACTCACATATCCAAGATAATCTCCTCATCTCAAGATCCTTAGCAGAATTACCTCTCCCATTATTCTTTTTCTTTTTTTTAAATTTTTTAAATTTTTTATTTTTTTGAGACAGAGAGAATGAGAGACAGAGAGCATGAGAGGGAGGATGGTCAGAGGGAGAAGCAGACTCCCTGCCGAGCAGGGAGCCTGATGCGGGGCTCGATCCCAGGACTCCGGGATCATGACCTGAGCCGAAGGCAGTCGCTTAACCAACTGAGCCACCCAGGCGCCCCCATTATTCTTTTTCTAAAAGAGATAGTGTTCACAGGTCCCATATAACTGGATGTAGACGTATCTTTGAAGACTGCCATTTAATCCTCTGTATTCAGCAAATAGTGTGTGAATGACCAGGCACTGGGCTGGATTGGGGATCACCATGAAGAACAAGGTAGACGGGATCTTTGTTCTCATGGAGCCTATGAATCGAAACATTAGCAGAAAGTATGCTTAGCTTCTTTGCATTTTATTTGCTTCAATAAAACAGCATTGTCCTGCTTAAAACAACAACAACAACAACTGTGCTGGGCCTGACAGAATCAAAAAGTCTAATATATTAAAAACATTACTGCAGATATAAGCATCAATGTCATTAGGGAATTACAAAATAAATCAGGGAGATATCATTACACATCTGTCAGAATGGTCAAAATCTAAAACACTGACAACACTAAGTGCTGGTGAGGGGGAGTAACAGGAATGCTCATTCTTCGCTCGTGGGAACGCAAAATGGTGCAGCCACTTTGGAGGACAGTTCGGTGGCTTCTGAC